GTTAATGGGACACGTAAATCTTTCTGTAGCAACAGAAATGGAAATTACTCTGGCTGTAAAGACAATTACAGCTTGATGGCCACTTCCTCCAATTACAATTTTCCTCCAATTCCAAATACACTCAGATTTGCTGCTGGAAACTCATAAAACATGGGTGTTTCAGCACCCTGCCTTTGCTCCATCAGCAGTGCCAATGTCCCAGTGACCTGARTGGGACCTGTGAGGACACCCCTTGCTGGCCACAGAGCAGGCTGGATGCTGTGGGTCACAAAAAACACAAATTGTGCTGCTCAATATGACATTTCTGACTGTTTTGCTGTCACCAGGTCACCACTGCCAGCTTATCCCACTGGCTGCTTTCAGAGGTTTGGGTCACTCAAAGGTAAAGCAGCTCTGGCTGGGAATTGGACACCAGCTATCAGCTGTTCCACCAGGGTTATCACAACATGCCTCRTAAAGAGACGTTTTCCTTTTTCTCCTCTTTGCTGAGATTGATATCAGGAGCCTGGCTCAGCACAAGAAACTGCAGCAGATCATCTGTTTTCAAGTGCAAAGCAAACATCAGCTGTGGCCAGTGCAGGAAATGGCCTTCAAAGAGCCCAACATGAACTTGCCCAGGTTCTTTCCCTTGCTGCTGCCATGCATAGTTTTATGTCTGCTTCACCAATACCTGCTTATTCAGCACAACACTGAACCACATTAAACTGATCTGTGACCAGCTGAGCCAGGAAAGGTGGTGCATTTCGCTGCTTTCCYTTCAAAGCCCCTCATTTTTCATGCTAAAAAAAATAAGGTTTCATTTTTAGTTATTTGCATCTGTGTGTGTTGTGATCATTTTTGAATGCTGGTCAGCATCACACATCTGAGGGGCTCCTCAGCTCAGACCAAGCAGGTTTTGTTGGTGTAAAACAATGCCTGTGGTGCCYTAACATGCCACCTTCATTTCAGTCCTGGCCATCTGAAAGGTGCAAAGCCATTTAAACAGTCTGAAGCACAGCCATGCTTGCCATAAACAGAAAGCTGAGAGTTGAAAGGAGGCAAAACTCACTGGCAGTTGTCCAGCCACACATCTCCACCTCGCAGCCAGGCCCCGTGATCCTGATTCTTGTAGGCAATGAAGCCCTGGATTATTGCAGGTTCCCTGGGCTTCAGAGGATCAGCATCCTTGTGGGGGCTGTACCTGCAAGAGGAGGAGAGAAGGAAGGTTAATGAGGGGAGATGGCTTTGCTCCCTGCATGGCCCTGCTGCACATCTGGTTTTTGGTAAGTCAGGAGCAGCTCTGGGACCTCGAGCTGTCCACGCAGMGTGTCGAGTTCAGGCTGTGATGGCCAGACCCAGCTGCCAGGGGAAAGAAGGTCCAGGCAAAGACCTGCTCCAAGTTTCCTTTCACCTTTCCGGTATTGTGTTGCTGATGTATTGCTGAAAGCATGGAAAGTTTCTTACTGCTCCCAAAAGTCTGAGATTTTTTTTTTTTTATTCCTTACTGTTATCCTGTTGTTTAGATAAATATCCTTTTGTTTTCCCTTTTGAGCATTCTTATCTCCTAACTCTGGCAATACTGTGGCCATGAGTACCCCTGCCAAATTTTTCTTGCTGCAGAAAGGAATTAAAAAATCTTGGAGAGGGGCTGAGAGTATGTCCTTCACTACTCCCACCACACAGGACACACGTAYAAGGTTTGTTAACCCTGAAGCTCTCAGTAGGATGAAATATTGGCCTGATTTGGTGCAGAAAAAGCAGACACAGGTGGGAACTGCAGCGATGTGTGCCCTCAGCTGCTCCCTGACCATCCCTGCTCGGGCCACAGGGTGTGAGCAGGTGATGCTGAGCTGGGCTGGCACTGTCCCTGTCCCCAGGCACTGCTCTCCTTTGTGCTGCTGGAGGAGCACCTTCCCTCACACTACACAGCTCAGAAAACCTGACAGATGAGAGCCCAACTCCCTGCCAGCAATGGATGGTCCAGAGATTAAAATTCATTCCTCACCAATGGGTAGYGAGGCCAAGCTGTCAAATTGCTAACAGATATTCAATAGCACTTTGCTTTGCTTAATAAGCCATCATATCAATCTAAAACTGAGCATCAGGCTGATAGGGTTCCAGTAAATGAATATTGCTTTGGCAGCCTCATCACTGTGAATTTACTTGCAGGGAGAGATTTAGTATCAGCTCGTGTGAATTCCCCAGGCATTGTTGAACACGGATATTTGGAGATGGATTCCAGTTTCATTCACATCCACGATAGCCAGAGGAACACTACAGGGTACAGAATTTGACTGGGACATTCAGAGCTGTAACTGAATGCAGAATAGCTCACAGTTTKCCCCAGCCAGCCCAGCTACAGTCATTTGTTCAGCTGTCCAGTCCTGACACACCAAAAGTAGAAAATGCAATAAATAACCTGAGCTGCAGCCTGYGCTGGTGGGTAATCCCCGAGCACAACCATGACTGCATTATGAATTGTTTGGCTTCCAGGGGCTGCTCCTGCCCTTGTATGGCAAAGGAGAAATTGCCTTTTGTAACCAAACAGCAGCACCTTCCCAAGGCCCAGCTCTATGGAAAAGCAGCATCAGGTCCCAAGAGCAGGCTGCTCTTATTTTGTTAGCAGCTACTTTTACCATTGCATTAATCACYTCAATTAACTGAGCATTAAAATGATGTAAATAACATTGATTTTTAAACATCTTTTAGCATCAGCTGCTGGCCAGGGCACTGGGGTGGTGGGGATAACTGATATCTGAGCTCCAGGCTGGGCTCTCCTGGGGAGGAGACTGATCCCACCCCTGTAATGCCTGCCCAGCAGTCTGGGTAACCCACACCCCAAGGAGGGGAAGGAGAGAAGGATAAAGTCATCAYTCTCCCCTGCTGAGCTGAGGCTTTCAGCAGGTTTCTCTTCCTTACATGGTTTCTTCTGTCAAGAAAAGCAGTTCATGGGGGAATGTGGGTTAGGGTGTGATTGGCCTGTCAGGAAAGAAAACGATGAWATTTGAGAATATTTAAGTCCTTTTACATGTCTGGGAGGTGATAACTAAATTAAGAGCCAGACTCAACCTCTAATGAGATRGAGGGGTGCAAGGGCAGACCCTACMTCAGCCTCATCTGGGGACAMACTGGGAATTCTCAGAAGCCACCAGACCATAGTGCTGATATGACAGAGTCTATAAAGAGATTTCCAGTATTTCTGATTTACTCCATTGCACCACAAGAGGCTGTGCACAGCAGCAGAAATGAAAGATTGCTCTGTGTATTTAATTTGATTGTTATTGCAGTGCCAGATTTACAACTAGACTGAAATCTGAAATCAAACTATGAGGTCCGTGACATAAGCACTCCCTGTTCAAGCAGGCTCTAAAAGAATGAATAAAATCAATAGCATTCCCAAGAAATACTAAAATTTCTTATTCCTAAGAAACTCTTGCAGCGAGTTCTGCCCAGAAGGGTCGGATGACCAGGGAGTGAAATTTCTTGCTTATCTAAAAAATTCAAAAGTCAATGGAACACCCTAGAGAAGATGTAACAACCACGCCAGCCCAGCTCAGAGCTAAAGAATGAGGACAAAATGAGAAGGATGCGAATGYTGAGGGCTTCTTGGAAAGGAGAACAGAGAAATGAAATTAGAAATGGCAAGGTGTATCTAAATGAAAACCTTTCCTCAAAAAGAGCCACCCCAAAGGCATTGCAATGATTCCTGTGAGCTCCCTTGGGGCAATTTCACAGCTTYCAGTCAGTGTTTTAGAGGAGTCTTTTCCAAACCAAACCCTCCAAAACACTTTACCTCCCAGAGATCAGTGTCAGGATAGGTCTTTTGTCCTTGGCAGAGGCTGGAGTGGTTTTAACGCCATTGTCGATGATCATTCCAGCCTAAAGAAAAACACAAATGCAATATCATGGTATAGTTATAAATTTTACAGCTTTTTCCACCTCCAGACTCTACTCCAGTTGTTCYAAGCCAAAGCCACTCAGATGATGCTAAGAACAACTTGTGTTAATGGCATGTGAAACTATCCAGACTCACATACACCTCCCAAAATTGCTGCAAATGGCCAGAGTGGCACTTTTCTGATATTTGCATGCATTTCTATCCACATGAACTGTCTGCTTTAGCCTAAAGTAACACACAGCCCCACAGCAGGGCACACCAAGGAATAAACAAGCAGAGAAGACGATCAGACACAGTGGTTGTATTTATCCCTCTGGAAGATGCTCAGTTAATTGCCAGCATTGGCTGTGGAGGTGTACAATCACACAAGCTGCCTTAGATCTCCTGGAGGTG